ATAAAATCAATTTCATAAAAATCCTCCATATTGACAGTACATTACCACTCCATAATATCCAATACTAAGAGAAATAAAAGTAATATTAAATGGACTGCATAAGCCGTTGAAATTGAGAAAAAATATCCCCATAGTATATTTTTATATTATATTAGAACTGTTTTCCTACTCAAATAATATATCTTTAATCAATTATTTAAAAATATACCCAATTATTAAACAACAACTAAGAAAATATTTAAAAATATAAATGTGTGAGAAATAGAAAGAAAAATGGTTGGTAAGAGGCAATACCACTAATGATTCTGCAAACGTAAAGATCTAAACGTGAAATATAAGATCGATCTTTTTACTCTTTGAAAAGAAAATTTATGGTGGATAAAATTATAATTAAGATTAAATCTTCAAAACATGAGATGAACTAATAATAAGAATCTGAATCAACATATAATAAACTATTTTTTTTTGTAAAGACCAAATAATTAAATCAAACAACCATACAAGTGTATGTTGAAGCACAATCAAAGCTAAATCATGAACAAGAACAAGCTTTCAAGACTATATTATAAAGAGTCGGCTTTTATACGGGATTATCCTTTGTAGATGCCTCTGGCTGAATTGAAAATATTTCTATGTCATGCATTACTTGCACATGTCAAATCAAGAGGCATGATACTGTTAGCAATAATAACAAATGGTGTACCGACAACGATTTTATTATGAGGCCACTCACTTTAGATGTGATATACCTTTTCAAACAACTGAAATAACCATCACAAATACGTCAAAGCAGAGCAACAATGCTAAATCTATAAGGAAAACAAAATTGATAATATGTGATGAAGCGCTTATGGCTAAGTGTTAAATGACGAAACAATTGCCCCTAGAGATATATTGAATACCAGTAAGCCATTTGGTAAAAAAACTAATGGCTTGGAAGGTGATTTCTGTCATATACTATCAATAGTTACAAAATCGACGAAATCAAAGACTGTAAAAAATAGCTTTTTTAAAATTATATTTATGGCCTCAAATAAAAAAGATTTAACTGACAAGGATAATTTTCGGTATATTTATATTTTGCAATTATAATAAATAAAGCAAAAGGATAAACTTTCTAAATATTAGACTATATTTATCACAATATGTTTTCTTGCACGAACAGCTATATGTTGCACTTTCAAGAGGAACGAATATCAATACCAACAACAAGAGTTCTGGTTATGGCAGAGCAACCAAAACATTAGAAGGAAATATACACAAAAAACCATCAACAAAGAAATGTTTGGTAAGATACCACCAAATTAAATACTTTTAAACTATAATACGTAATTATCTAACTAACATGATTAAATTGATCATTTGTGTAAGTTCTGATGATGTCCTTTTATTTGGAATTCACATATCATGGTAATGTAATAATATTTTTCGGCTTTTAAATAATTAAAATGGTTAAACCATCACGTGCAATTATTAACGTACAATGCACGTTCATAGATACTAGTATATATATATAAGCCAAATTCAATTCAATAGGTCACGAGTATTTTTGTTCCTTACCGTTTTTTAAAATGATCCTCCCAGACCCAACTTGTCCAAGTCCAAACAAGTTAAGCATGACCCTTTATTTTTTAGCTTGTTACTTACGTTTTACCCTGTCCACTGACGGAAACAACAAAAACAATTTCATTTTCAATAATTAAGTACTACCTCCGATGTGTATTATTTACTTTTTAAAAATTATTGTACAACCTATAAAAAAAGATATTTAATAATGTTTAGTATAATATATTTTGAAATTACCAGTTATTTCTCCTTAAACATCTTCATTAATACTCTAATAATTGAAATATAAAAACAACAAATATTTTGACATAAAATTCACTTGGTCAAAACGATCAATATCTGGAATTGGAGATATACTAAGAAACGTTAGGTGATGGCCACTTCTCTAACTTTAAAAAATTTGATGAATTTCTTGGCAAAGACGCCTCTGTATTAGATTGAGTCACGCCAGATTCAAAATGACATTAGTCCTTATTTGATCCGTTACCATAAGTAAATTAAGGAAACGAATACTTACTCGTGGTTTTCCTTTTACAAGTTTCTGCTTCATCAATCTTGTAAACCGACAGCGTTCTTTCCTAAGTATCTGACGGACATTAAGTTTGTTTAAAACAAGCCAAATTCCATTTATTTAATCAATGTCAAACTCGATAATTTTAAACTTGTTCAGAGTTGGGGTTTGATATAATTGCTTGGTAATCACATCACATTCAAGTAATATAAGAAAATAGAAAGAATACAGGTTGATTTCTACCTCTATATGGCATGTCTAGATAGTTCAATACAAAACTCTCTTTTCACAAAATATGGGATTATGCACGCAGGCTGGAAAAGGAAAAGAAAAAGTGCAGATTCTTTAAGCATGAAGAATGATATTTCACAAACTTGTAATTTGATTATTCCAATCAACTTGCCCAGGATCATGTTTAGTGATACAGAAATGGCCTGCTAAAAAACATTATTACGTGGTTTGTCCACATCTCAATTATAAGTCGTTCAACAATTCATTCAAAACTGGTTGCCACATTAAATGTGAATATCATTCTTTATATGCATCTAAATTGTTTTTTATCCTCCAACAAAACTAGATATATAAAGTTGCAACATCTAACATGAATCTAACTTTGAACATTTTAACATAATATCTCTTTAGCCACACGTCACGTCTCTACCAGAGCCAGAAATCCTAACGAGGGGATTCAAAAACTAAAGAATGCAACACCTAGGATTCAAACTTAGCACCCTATTTATGCAGTGACGAAAGAAATTCAATTGAACCCCATTATTGAAGTTAGCTCTGCCATGGAAGGGTTGAAGTTAGCTCTACCAGGGAAGGGTGGCTATGTCACTGAAATGCCTGTCATCCCTATTAGTTCTTACGACAAATATCTGCTATGCATATTTATTGAACAACTCCTCATATGTATTACAGGGGCTTTATCAAGATATTCTCATCCCTCATTGTGAATGTTCACGTACAAAAACTTCAAGTAATACTCCAAAGTATCGTGCAAGCTTGCCTTGCAGGAGATATCTAATTTTAAATGATAAAAATGCTATTCCATTAAAAAACAAATGGTGCAAAGGCTATCATGACTGCACAAGATAAGTATAGTTCGTAAGCAAGAAGACATTTCAACTTCTTATTGTTACGTCTAATTAACACCAAATCATTACACAAGTTAAATGCACTTCGACAGCAATTCAAGAAATGGCTACTCTAAAGAAAGAACGTTAGGGCACACCATACAGCATCACTCCAGAATATCATCAAAGGGAAAAAAAAATCTTAGCGCTAAATATTTGACACAATTCACAGCAGAAAGCAAGCTTCAAAATGACTCATACAAAATGATTACAATATTTGTTGTTTTCAAAGTTAAAATTAAAGCACTGACGGAAAAATTTGATAGTCTACTCTTTGATTTGGCATAAGCAAGTTCATGCAAGCTTAAGCAGGAAGTGACAGGAATATTGTATTCGGAAAGAATCAAATTGATTGAGAAATAGAAAGGATGATGAGTTCCTCAACTACTGAGACCTTCCAGGGGCTTATCAGTGCTGCTGACATATTATCTTGGACAGTACAGAACAAAGGATCTTTTCTGTGAAATCTTGCTACAAATTCACGATAGCAGGTGAGAGTCAGAAGTCATCCTAGCAATGGAACCAAATTTGGAAAACAAGAGCACCATATCAAGGGACTTGTTTTTCTTGGTTAGTTGCCTATGCAACTAGTTTGACACTGGAAAATCCACAACAGGGAGCAGACTTGCAAATGTGCAATAGATGCTACCTATGTAGGAAAGAAGCTGGAAGGCAACAGCCATCCTCTTTTCCAGTTGGCATTGTAACAAAACATCGCAGCTATATCATTTTTGTTTGAGCACTCTGGGTCTGAGATAGGTCAGGACTCAGGCCAAGAACTACCCAAGAATACAGATGCTGGTGCAAGAAAGGTCTTAGTGAGGGTCTTAGCAGCATATGGAACACCATATCAGCTTTGTATTTGGTGGACACGTTGGAGGGAAAGGAATCAAAGTTGTTTTGGAGGCTAAGCAGACTCCAATTCGATGGTCAAGTTTAACTGTATATTATTAGCTTACTTATGATGTTATGTAGAGTATGTAGATGAGCCTGAAACATTATATACTTAACAAGTTCTTAACGGAATTAAATGGACTATGTTTTTTTTCTCTTTGATGTATATATCATAGGACCAACTTGGTTCTGAAGCATTAATAAAATTATCCTGTTTAGTGGATTAAAAGAAGGTTCATGCCGATTGCAGGCTTAAGAAGCCGGGAGCAGCTTGATTTTTCTATAGTATCAAAGTTATTCTGACTTGTGTAGCATTTCACTATCGTAAGAACAAGATGTGTTCCACTGTTTCTTCTCCTCCTTTTACCATTGTGTTAAACTTAAAGCCATGTGCTCCTCTTTTTTTTACTCATATTCCACTTATATGAAACATAACAATCCTTCTATCTCAAGTTAACTAGTATGTTACTTCCTCTAATATCTATTGCCCAAAACAGTCCACCTTTCACAAAAAGTAACTTTAGTCCTGAATTTTAATGCTATAAAAGATTAAAAAGTATTAGAAAATACCAATCTATATACTTAGTATAAGATCAAATTCATCAAAGTTAACCTTTTTTTCATGTTTATACATTTCCGATTACATACTATTGAACTTCCACCTTACCACGATACTTGTCTCCAGTCAAGTTACGATACTTAACATGGAGCGAAGGGAACATCGATTATTCATACTGTAGAGTAGTCAAGGCCAAGGTAAGCATAATTATAAGCTGATTTAACTAAAGGACATCCTGCGCTAATTTACAAGGCAATATAATTTGTAGGAGGAAAAGAAGGGCACAAAAGTAGACCGAATCACTCAGAATATCTAAGTGCATAAAACCTCAATAGCTACCTCTGAAAAGTAACAAATTTCAGGTACGAAAAGATAAAAAGGTCAACAAAATTACCATACAAAGTTACATACAAGGCACCCATTCCTCATTGAGAAGGGTAAATACATGGTTCAGCCTTCCGCATAGGTTAATAGATTACGAACAACAGAAAGTGCATTATACAAAAAACATACACTACTAGATATATTATTCAGTTTTTATTTTTAACATGGCCTGAACCATCCTCTACAACCACATTGACCTTTTCATACCTGAAATCTCCAGGATGCACTGAGCTCTTTGCTGGGATCACTACCTCCGAATTATTGCCAACTATCACCCACAAAAACAATCCAATAAAGGCAGCCAATGCTATACACCCTGTCGCAAAAATAAACCCAGAGAGAAACGCCAAAAGATGAAACCTTTTTTTGTCTGCAATCTTTTCCAGACTTTGTTCGTTCGCATTTTTGCGTGGATCCGCAGGTTGTGAATGCAGCCACTTTGGAACACTTCGAACTCTGAACTTCCATGAATAGACACTAGTAACTTGGAATGAACTTCCAGTAGAAGAACTTAATCCCACCAATACTTCTTCGCCTTTCCACATATTACCCAAATCAACCTGATACACTAACAAGGGATCGTACGGCCTAGGAATACCAAATTCACTTAGTCTTACCTCTAGCCTTTTCGAAGTGCATTCATAATCGACCCAAGAATGCAGCTTTTTGCCACTATTCAACACCAAGTTGATGAACGAAACGTTGGTTGATTTTGCAGAAACAAGACTGCCCACATTCACACCCACATGATTGGCACTTTTATCCCCCACATTTTCGTTCAACAAAGTATCAAACTCAACCCCAAAAAACCGCCTTTCATTAGAAAGCCCGAACATTTTCTTGGAAAACTTGGAGGGGAAATCAGTAGGAACAATAACGAACGAAAGACCATCACCATTGTGGGGTGAGATAGAGAATGAGAAGTCAGTGGAAAACGAATTGGAGTCAAGAAACTTGAAGGGTATTCTCTGGAAGACGAATCCGGAACTCAGAGAAGACTTTGATGAGTCGGTTAGTTGCACAAAGGAGCCATCTTTAGTGATTTTAGCATCGCCAATAAGGCCAAGATTGGGATCAAAGTGGGAACTCAGACCAATTGAGAAGGAGAAAATGGAGACCGGGAGCAAAGTCAAGAGAAGAAGAAGGTAGATAGGAACATTAAAGAGCATCATGCCGCTGGGAATGCGCAATGTGGGCATCATTCATGCGCTGACAACGGAAAATCTGAGAGTATTTGGCTACTATTAAGGTTAGGGTTTGGGTTTTGTTGATGCTCTGATGGTTGAGTTCTTGGAGTAAAGTGGAAGGTAAAGTAGGAATGTCTCTTGGTACTGGAACAGTCAACACTTCGTACTTTGTGGTCAACAAATAGATGGCTGTGTTATGTGGGGCAACGAGGTGCTTTTGGGGTAGTTGCTGTTTATAAGATGTTGGATCCATTGAAATTTTTTCCTTTTTTTCAAATAAAAAAAATCAAAAATGTATTTGTACATTAAATCTTGCAAATTTTTGATTTTTTTTTGAAAATGAGTTTTTAAAAAAGATAGCTTTTTCAAAATTTTCAGAAAAACTTATTTCCCAATCACAAAACTGCAACATTTTTTCAACTGAAATACATGTCCAAACATAGTTTCAAATTTCAAATACTACTCCTACTTTTTAACTTAACTCCAAATATTACTATTTTCAAAATTATAATTTTTATGTCCAAACGCTTACTTAGTCGAGGTTTGTTTTTTATTGTTGTTGTCTATAAAAGCAGTATTATCACTTTTAGCCCACGCCAGAAACTATTTACATCTGGCAGCCGAAAAGTATATAAAATTTGTATATAATATATAAAATTTATTTATATACAAAAATATACAAATTTTTATATATTTTTCAGCTATTATTTTACAGCGGTATACAATGTCATTTTTCCTCCATAAAATGTTGGACTTGTCAAGCCCAACTTCACATTTGGGCCTGAGAAAGTACCCAGTCACGGTAAAGAGGGGCATAATTTGACAAAATTAAAAGAAAAATTAAACCAATTAGCCTTCCATCTTGTAACGACCCGACCGGTCGTATTGTTTTCTAGAACCCCGTTCCCCTAAATAAGACTCCCCGTATGTACTTTTACTGTTTTATGACTTGCGAGGATGGTTAGTTCGAGATTTGGAAGGGTTCGGGTTGAAATCGGAACACTTGGTTCCTTAAGGTTTGCAAAAAGGGTTAAGTATGACTTTGGTCAACGTTTCGAGTAAACGACCTCGGACTCGAGATTTGATGCCTCCCATAGGTTCGTATGATTATTTCGGACTTGGGCGTATGTTCAGATCGGATTTTGTATGACCCAGGAACGTTTCAGTGCCTAATATTGAAAGTTGGTATTTTGGGGTAAATTTCTTAAGTTTGAGTCGTAGAGGATTTTTGTGTTATCGACGTTCGTTTGGGATTCTGATCCTGGGAAAAGCGCCGTGATTCTGGACTTAGGAGCGCAACCGGATGTGGATTTGGTGGTCCGTAGGTTCTTTCAGAGTCATTTGGCGAAAGTTGGAAATTTGAAGGTTTTTGAGAAGTTTGATCGGGAGTGGACTTTTTGATATCGGGTTAGGATTCTGATTCCAGAAGTTGGAGTAGGTCTGCAATGTCATTAAAGACTTGCACACAAAATTTAGAGTTATTTCGGGTAGTTTAAGTACGTTTCGGCGCATTGGGAGTAAGTTAGAAGAACTTGAAGTTCTTATTTTTAATTCAATTGGTTTGGGGTGTGATTCTTAGTTTTAATGTTTTTTTTTGCGTTCCAAGAGATCAAGAGAGTCTGTTTTATGATTTCAAACTTGTTGGGTATGTCCGGGCGGGGCCCCTCAGTGTTAACCAGACTAGGCTCGAACCAAGATTTGAACTTGGGAGCAACAACTGAAGCTCCTAGCTTCTGGTGCAACGCACCTGCGCTTGGCCAGCCGCAGGTACGTTTCATGAGCTGCAGAAGCGGACCAGCAAAGGGGAGGCCAGTGACCGCAGAAGTGGGCTGCACCTTCGAAGGCGCAAGTGCGAAGGCAGCCATCGCAGAAGCGACTCAAGCCGCAGAAGCAGGACCGAAAAATGGCCAAGGCACCGTAGGTGCGAAAATTGCTGAAGGCAGTGGGTTGTTCTAAGTCGGGGTTTGAGCATTTTTGCTCATTTCATACACTTCTTGGGGGCGATTTTGGAGCTGTTTAGAGAGGGATTTTCCTCAATCAATTGAGATAAGTAATTTCTACCTAATCTGAATTAAATACATAGTTTATGGGTAGATTATAATATGTAAATTGGTAGAAATTTTGAGTTAGATATAAAAACCTAGGGTTTTGATAAAAATAAATTTAACCATGAATTTGGTATGGAATCGAGTGAAAGTTATATATTTGAGTTCGTGAGGCCATGGGTAACAACTCTCTTTGAAATTTTTTGAAATCCGGGCATGTGGGCCCGGGGATGCACTTTAGGAACTCTTCAATTGGGATTGTGTAATCGCTTTAATAGTTAGGATATGAACTTTTAAACATGTATTGACTATTTTATATAACATTTGACTAGTTTTGAGTCGCTTGGCACCAAATTGAGGGTTTAAAGCACAATTTTGGACCGGAAAGTAAGCGTTGAGACGAGGTAAGTCTCTTTTCTAGCCTTGTAAGAGGGAATTAACCCCATAGGTGAATTGAATTAATGTGTGCTTCTATTTGTGGGGACTACGTACGCACGAGGTGACGAGAGTCCGTACGTAGCTACTAATTATGCTTATGTCTGAGTATAGTCTTAGGCTTACACCATGCCTTGTTGGCATCGTTATTTGATTATGCTTATTAATCGCATTGAATAAGAGCTGAGATTGAGGATTTCAAGATTTAAAGTTCCAAGTTTAGATTTCTTATTTTTTGAAGGGATTGAAGAAATATTATGATAATTGTTGAGAAATCTATGTTCACTCGCGTCGCAAGTATTTTTCCGCGAGCGAAGTAAATTCCAGTATTCTCATGGAGCGGGCCGTTTGCCTCATAAGGTTAATAGATGCATCTATGATTCGTGCCGTTCGATCCTCGACAGTGCAAATTTTATATATTTGTATTGTGGATCGGGTCGTACGACCTCGGCATAATTCGTGCGTAATAATACTTGGAGCCCAATTATATTTGATATTGTTTCACCGCCTTGAGAGGTTAAATTTTTAAATGATGGAAATTTAATTGAACATTATTATCAGTAAAGAATGATTTGTTTATTTCTTGTTATTGAGTTTTATAGTTTCATTATATAGCCCATGTCTATTTAGAATTTCTATTATATTATTGTTTGCCGATAGTAAGTGTCGAAGTCGACCCCTCGTCACTACTTCTTCGAGGTTAGACTAGATACTTACTGGGTACATGGTGTTTGTGTACTCACGCTACACTTCTGCACTAAATGTGCAGGATTTGAGGCAGGTGAATCTGGATATCAGTCCGACGCGCATCTTTGAATCCACGAGACTTTACGGAGATCAAGAGCTTCTTGGGGTTAGCAGGTTATTATCGATAATTTGTGGAGGGATTCTCATCTATTGCATCACCTTTGACTACATCGACCCAGAAGGGTGCTCTGTTCCGTTGGTCCTACGAATGTGAGGCGAGCTTTCAAAAGCTCAAGACATCCTTGACTACGACACCAGTTTTAGTGTTGCCTTCCAATTCGGGGATGTACACTGTGTATTGACGCTTCACGTATTGTCTTGGGTTATGTACTGATGCAGGAGGGGCGAGTTATTGCATATTCTTCACGTCAGTTGAAGATCCATGAGAAGAATTACCCTGTGCCCGATCTAGAGATAGTTGCCGTTTTTCATGCTCTTAAGATCTGGAGGCATTATCTTTATGAGGTGTCTTGTGAGGTTTACACTGATCATCGTAGCTTGCAGCATTTGTTCAGCCAAAGGGATCTCAATTTGAGGCAGGGCAGGTGGCTTAAGTTACTAAATGACTATCATATCACCATCCATTATCATCCGGGCTAGGTGAATGTAGTTGCGAATGTCTTGAGCAGAAAGGTGGAGAGTATGGATAGCTTAGCATTCATTTCAGCAGAGGAGAGGCCAATAGCTTTGGAAATTCAGTCCTTGGCTAATAGACTTGTGAGGTTAGATATTTCAGAGCCGAGCCGAGTTCTTGCATGCGCCATTACCCAGTCATCATTATTGTAGCAGATCAAGGCTTCACAGTTTGATGATCCGCACTTGTTGGTTCTTAGAGAGACGGTACTATAGGGTGGTGCCAAGGAGGTTACTGTCGACGATGATGGTGTTCTGAGACTCCAAGGTCGTCTATGTGTCACTAATGTTGATAGGTTGAGGGCACAAAGCTCTCGGTATTCTATTCATCCAGGAGCTATGAAGATGTATCGCAACCTGAGGCAGCATTATTGGTGGCGGCGGATGAAGAAGGACATAGTTGAGTATGTTTCAAGGTGTCTAAATTGCCAGCAGGTTAAGTATGAACACTAGAGGCCAGATGGCCTACTCCAGCAGATGACTATACCTGAGTGGAAGTGGGAGCGCATTGCTATGGACTTCATAGTTGGGTTGCCGCGAACCTTGCAGAAGTTTGATGCAGTTTGGGTCATTGTCGATAGGTTGACCAAGTCGGCACACTTCATTCTGGTTGTGACCACGTATACTTCAGAGTGGTTGGCCCAGATTTATATTCAAGAGATAGTTCGATTGCATAGTGCGCTTGTTTCCGTCATATCAGATAGAGGCCCTCAATTTACTTCACATTTTTGGAGAGAAGTACAGGGTAAGTTGGGAACCTGTGTAGAGCTCAACACACCCTTTCATCCACAGACCGACGGATAGTCGGAGCGGATAGTTCAGATCTTGGAGGACATGCTCAGAGCATGTGTGATTGACTTTGGAGGGCAGTGGGATCGATTCTTGCCTTTGGGCGAGTTTTCTTACAACAATAGTAATCAGTCTAGCATCGAGATGGCTCCATTTGAGGCTTTGTATGGTCGGCGATATCGTTCTCCCATCAGATGGTTTGAGCCCGACGAGGCTAAGTTATATGGTAATGATTTGGTGAACGATGCCTTGGAAAAGGTAAAGTTGATTCAGGAGTGACTTCGCACAGCACAGTCCAGACAGAAGAGTTATGCGGATAAGAAGGCACGTGATTTATCATTTATGGTGGGCGAGAAGGTTCGCTTGAAAGTCAATGAGCTTTCTTTGCCTCCCCGTCTATCGGGAGTTCATATGGTTTTCCACGTGTCTATGCTTTGGAGGTATCATGCCGACTTGTCGCATGTGTTGGACTTCAGCACGGTTCAGCTAGATAAGAGCCTGGGTTATGAGGAGGAGCCAATTGCCATTGTTGATAGGCAGGTTCACCAGTTGA